TGTCTTGTTAAGATTTAATCTAGAACGTTCACGCTCCAGCAGGCATAGTGCGGTTTCTCACCCTTCTCCAGGGCCAGCAGCCCCCAGCTGTGCTGCGGGAGGTTCTTCAGGGAGATCCCACCTGCTTTAGGATCTGGGTTGGGAGAACATTCCAGACCAGACCATTGCTCAGATGAGTGCTTGGGCTTGGTCCCTGCGGGTGTGCTGGTGCTGTCCACGTGGCGGAATAAACATACCAGGGGTCCAGCTGCTCTCACCCCAGGCCCCACATGGCGCCTCCTGGCATCCTTGCCTACCCACCCACCCCCCCGGCGAAGGAGCCCCCAGCTCCCCTGTGGCTGACCGGCAGCTGGCATTGCCCCCGCCCTCCACTCATCCCTCTGACCCCCCTCATCCTGCCATGGTTTTCATTTCCCCAGGTCCCAGGTGTGCATACCTTCAGCAGGCCTTGGGGAAGATGGCGACCCTGGGGGACGGTCAGGAGCCCCCTCGTGTCCCGTCCCCTGTCAATCTTGCGTCACCAGGGACACCTGGAACCCACCACCGCGAGGCCCGGCTTCACCTCCACGGTCATCAACACGGTACTCACCCTGCGCTCCCTCCGCCTCCCTGCACCACTCGCCTGCCCCGCACCACTGGCTACAGGCTGGAAACAAGGCAGCTCCCTGGGTGCTGGGGCTCCTGCCCCCTCGCACTTGGGTCGGGACGGGGCAGCCGTGGTTGAGGCCGGAGGCCAAGCCTTGTGAGCAATGGCTGTCCACAGTCCCCTGGGACTGTGTTTGGGGGGTTGGGGAAGAGCAGCCTCATTGGTAGCACCCTTTGTCCTCCCATCTCCCTTTATGAGCCTTTGCTCCCACCCCAGGAAAATAGCATCCAGAGTTCTGGGCAGGCTGGTTTGGGTTGGGGGCCCCCGGGACCTGCAGGGATGGAGCTTCCAGCCTGTCTCAGCCTCCTGGCAGGGTCTCAGGATGTCGAAGGCATGGAAGTAGCCCGTGACTGGCAGGGCGCCAGGGGCGGAGAGGTGTCTAAGCCCATGGCATGTGGTGCCCCAGAGTCTTGCTCACACTCAGCCATCAGAAAGTCGCAGGGGCTCTGTCCATGCCCCACGTGCCACAGGAGGCCTGGCCTCACTCCTCACAGCTGGGACACAAATGAGCTGATGACCACCAGGTCAAGGACCTGGGTGTGTTTCATTTCACCTGTGTCCTAAAGAGCTGGCCCTGGGCTCAGGGGGTGGGGCTCGCTCTGTGTCCAGGGCTTTCACTCTTGGCGAGTCCCGGCATTACAGGGAGTGACATGATGATGGCTGAGCTGCGCCCGCTCTGTGCCTAGGGCTCTGTGCGGGCTGTCCTAAAGCCCGGTGGCCACATTAACAATGGGGACAGCGAGGCCCACAGAGGTCACACACAGCTAGGGAACATGGGATTCACCCCCCAGTTCAGTCCAGGATTGGAACGGGAGCAGCTAGCCGCGCCCTGTGCTGTGCCTGGCTTGGGGATCTCTCCCGGCCTCCTGCCCGTCCCCGTGGAGGCCAGGCTGGGGGTGTGGGGGGTATGGAGCTGGGTGCTGCTGGGAAGGAGCACATACTCTGCAGGCCTTGCTGGTACAGGTGCCTCTCCCTGCAGGGTGGTTTGAGGGCCTCCCCCAGGGCCCCCCACCCTCTGTGGTTGTGCCCCCTGTCCCCATGCAGTCAGGATTCCGGGGCCCACTCTCCACCTCCAGTTTCTCATGCCACCTCTCAAAACAGCCTGGCAAGGTAGGGCCTCCTGTCCCCATGTTTCTGACGGGGACATGGAAGCCCAGACATGAGCCAGTGGAGGCCGGTAGGATTTAGAACACATCAACGTGACTCAAGCCTGGCCCTCAAGCCCGCCTCCCTGCACTGGGCCCAGCAAGCTGGGGCTCCTGGTTTCTAACTGGCAGGATGTAGGACTGGGGAGGGGCTATCCCCAAAGACATGCAGACCTAGCCAGTTCTGCTGGATGAGAAGACTGGTGCCCAAGATGCAGGTCCTCCTGCCCACGCAGAGTGGGGCTGCCCCTGATCCAGCAAGAGCTTGGAAGGCCGGGCTGGGTCCCCTGAGCCACAGCCAAGTGCGCTCAAGTGCCCAGGGGCCTTGCCCAGTGAGAGGGAGTGTGGGCTGCAGCCAGCAGCTTCAGCACTCTCTGTGCTATTCAGAAACGGGGGGGGGGGGGAGAGGGGGGTGGCCTGCCTGCAAGGAAAACAACCAAGATTGACCCTAAAGAAGAGAGGGGCGGGGCCTCCAGCAGGCTCTGAAGGAAGAGGCGTGGCTGGAGGGTGATGGAACTCAGGGAGGTCCAAGGGGCCAGAGGGAGGAGAGGGGTTCCCTTCGTCCCCTCCTCGCGGAGAGCAGCCCAGCAGAGAGAGCTGGGCCCCATGACCAAGCTGCTCTCCAGGGCAGAGGCTGCCCCTCACGGTCGACCTCATTTCCTTTGCTGGTGAGTTCCTCGGTGCCCCGGGGGCCACACATGCTCTCAGAGGAAAGACCCCAGCATCTCAGGAACCTACCCAGGGCCCTCCAGCCAGTGAGGCCAGGACTTCTGGAGCCCCAGCCTCTCAACTCCCAGACCAGAGTGGGTGGGGTCTGCCCTGCAAAGCCTGGGCTCCCTCATGCCTGCCCCAGGGCTGGATCCCACCAGTCTTCCACGTCACCTCACACAAGAGCCAGTTTCAAATCTCTGGTAGGGCACAATGCTGGAGGGGGGCAGAGGGCATCCTTGAGTGGGGACCCATCTGTTGGCTAGAGCGGGTGAAGGGAGCAGCATTGGCACAGGGCACCCGGCCTGGTCCCTGGGGGTGGGGTGGGCATGAAACTGGTGCAAAGAGCTGGCGGCCACTCCTCCCCGAGCCTCCAGAGCAGGGAGTTAGGCGGGTGGGGTGTGGAACGGGGCAGAGACCTTGGGAATCAGGGCTGTGCTGGGCTGGCCAAGGGGCCTGGCACAAGGCTGTCCCTGCCAGAGCACAGGCTTCCAGAACTCGTTCTGGAAGGTATGGTCTGGAGCCCTGTGGCAGGAGGGGCAGCCTGTGGGCAGGAACAGGGGACGAGAAGGACGTACCAGCTACTCAGAGGTGGGGAGGAGCCATGTGGCCAGGGCAGCGCTACCCCCAACCAGGGGCAGGCCTTCCAGATAGGGTGCCTGGCCTTGGCACTTGAGACCTGAACTCTGGCTGTCCCCCGCCCCAACTCTCTTCTCCCCATGTCCACATCCACGCATGGACTTTCTGTGCCATTTTACAAACAAGGAGCGTCCCTTCCAGCCAGAAAAGTTCCCCCTGCCCTCCTGGCCCCTAATGCCTTCCCCTGTGGTGTCCGTGAGAGCCCCAGGCCTGGGGCCTCCACTGAGGCAGAGCAGGGGCTGTGTCACAGCCTCCCTGGAGGTGCTCGGGGTTGGGGGACACAGCCCAGCCAGGGCCCCGGCCTTCAGAGGTGGTGGTGAGCGGCTGGAGGGCTGGGGGAGGGGACTGTGAAGGTTGCAGCCCCGAAAGGCCCGTGTTCCCAGAACTGCCCCCCACTCCAGAGCAGCCAGGGAGTGCCTGGGGCCCCTCACTCTGGGAAGGAGTGTCACGTGGCTGCGCCCGTCTCCCTTTGTGGCTCCTGGGGAGCACCGGCCCCACGGGACCCCCAGGAGGGCAAGGAGGTATGTTGTGTGAGGAGCAGTGGCATTCTACAGGCAGCTGGGCGAGGCCTGGGCTAGATTGGAGAGGAGGGGGACATGAGCCCCCATCCCCCTGTGCCCCCAGACTCCCCTGGCTGCAGCCCTGAGGCGCTCTCCCGGCCACTGCAGGAGGAGCAGCTGTCCGACCTGGATCTCCAAGATGTGGAGGAGGTTCAGATTGGCAGAGACACCTGCTGGCCAGGTGAGTGAGCAGAACCCCCATCCGGTCCCTGCCCGAGTGCACTTACCCATGGCTGCCACGTGCCGGGCTCTCTGCAGCACCCACCGCTTCGGGCACCACGCTCCCAGCACCACTGCATCTCACTTGTCTCTGCCTCAGTGCTCACTTCTGTCCTCGATGGCCCGACCCCTTCCCTGAGCCCCAGAGCTGTAACCAGTCAGCATCTCCCACTCAGCAGCAGTCCGCCACCAGGCCAGCAGCCAGGGAGTCATCCTGGGTCCCCTCCTTCCCACCGTGTAGTGCCCTGGACCTCCACTAGTCCCCTAAATTAAGCTCTGGTCCCCATCCCCTTCTCCCCACAGCCTGGCTGGGGCAGCACTAATTCCGGCCCTCAGCCCCTTGCCACATCCCCCGGCCCATGGAAGCCCTTGGGATGCCCCCTTGGGGTCTCTGTCCCCCCTTCCTGGGAGGTCCTGGAGGTGTCAGGAGCTTCACAGGGGGGGCAGGCCAGGAGACAGTTGCCACCTAGACTCCATCCGGTTCTTGGCAGTGCCGCAGGGGGGCGGCCACATCCCTGCCGGGAGCCTGGGCAGCACCCGACGCAGGGGGCTCAGGGGGCTCTGCCACTGGGCTCTGGGGCTAAATCTGTGGGGGCGTTGTCCCCCAGGTCTGCCCTCACCCTGGCCCCCAGCACTGCTGCGCTCCGTGCTGGTACCATCAGCTAGATTGGCAGAGCCGGGGTCCGGCGGAGGGGGAGGCCGATGCCGGGGTGGGTGCCATCTGCCCCTCCCTGTCTCCTTTCAGACTCGGAGGCAGAGCCGGAGCAGGCTCCGTCATCTCCCCACCCCCACCATCCCGAAGACGAGGTGGACCCGGCCGGGGGGGCACTGAGGACCCTTCTGAGGAGCCTTCCCCGCAGACCCAGGTGTGGGGACCACTTTGGGCAGGAGTCCGGCTTGGAGCGACCCACGGGCCAGCTGGCGGGGACGGCGCCTTGCTCCCAGCAGAGGGGCCCGTGGCGCCTGACGCTGCTGTCCCAGGGAGCCTCTGGGCCGGCGGGGGAGCCCGAGCGGGCCGGCGAGCCGGAGGGCGGCCGGGGGTCGGGGCCCGGGGCCCGGCAGGGTGGCCCGCGGGGCGGGAAGCCGCACCGCTGTGAGGCCTGCGGCAAGAGCTTCAGGTACAAGTCGCTGCTGCTCAAGCACCAGCGCATCCACACGGGCGAGAAGCCGTACGCGTGCCACGAGTGCGGGAAGCGCTTCCGCGGCTGGTCGGGCTTCATCCAGCACCACCGCATCCACACGGGCGAGAAGCCGTACGAGTGCGGCCAGTGCGGCCGCGCCTTCAGCCACAGCTCGCACTTCACGCAGCACCTGCGCGTCCACAACGGCGAGAAGCCGTACGAGTGCGGCGAGTGCGGCCAGGCCTTCAGCCAGAGCTCCAACCTGGTGCGGCACCAGCGGCTGCACACGGGCGAGAAGCCGTACGCCTGCAGCCAGTGCGGCAAGGCCTTCATCTGGAGCTCCGTGCTCATCGAGCACCAGCGCATCCACACCGGCGAGAAGCCCTACGAGTGCGGGCAGTGCGGGAAGGCCTTCCGCGGCCGCTCCCACTTCTTCCGCCACCTGCGGACCCACACGGGCGAGAAGCCCTTTGCCTGCGGCGCGTGCGGCAAGGCCTTCGGCCAGAGCTCCCAGCTCATCCAGCACCAGAGGGTCCACTACCGGGAGTAGCGGGCGGGAGGCCGGGGCCGGGAGGGACCAGGGGGAGATTCCGGGGAGAGGGCTCCTGCCTCCCCCTCTTCCTGATCCGCACAGCAAGCCCCGCACGCCCAGTGGCCCAAATAAATTCTTTTTAACGGATGGAAATGGGAGTCGCTCCTGCCTGTCTCTGGAGAGGCGTGGCTGGTGTTTGGTCTCCGGGGGGCCACTGACGCCGACCTGAGGCCTCCTGACAACCTGGAGCCATAGCCGCGTGTTTGCAGGTGTCGAAAGCCGAAGTGGGGCAGGCGAGGTCAGGGGGTGGCTGCCCGAGGCAAGGTGCCTCCTGTCCGTTACCCTGAGCCATAGGTGAAGTGGCCCAGGCTTCACAGCTGCCTCCAGCCCCCAGAAGAGGGGTCCCAGGATGTTCGCCTCCTGACAGGCCTAGACCTCTGCAGCTGTGGCCGGCCTTGGCTTTGGCCTTCCTCAGACCTGTCCTGTAGCTCACAGACTTCCAGCCCAAGGTACAGGAAAGATCTCAGCTGGGTGGGGAAGCACACGCCTTCCCTGCCCCACCTGCTCCCTCGGGAATACTTCGGGACCCCACCCCCACCCCACATTGAGGAGCTGCCCGGCCCCTCCCTTGGCTGCAACTCTGAGCCTCACTTCCCCAGTTCCAAGCCCAAAGGCCTGTGGCTGGGCGGCCTCACCTCTCTGGGCCACACTCCCAGGGCCCTGTGGCCACCAAGCACTTCGGACTCCCGCGCCATGCGCCCCCCTCCACCTCAGGGGGAGAGCAGCTGTAGGCAAGAGGAGTAGAAGTCAGGCAGTCTCTGGACATCGGCTTCAGGGCTCAGGGCACCTCCTTAGTCGCCTTTGCTGGTGCGCTGTGGCCTGAAAGAGAAAGGAAAGCCGCCTTCTCCCAACTCTTTCTTCCCCCTAACACCGCAGGGGTAATGTGGGGCCTCAGGGCTCCAGCATCCTGCACGCACAGCCCCCCGGGGCTTCACGGGGAGCGGGGGTGGCAGCTGTGCGCTGGAGGGTCATCCTGCCACCTCTGCGTGGAGGCTGCACTCGGATGCCAGCACGGAGACCAGTCCTGGCAGGCGGCCACCAAGAGCAGAGCCTGGAGGTCCTCCACACCGCGCCAGACTGTCCCACAGACCCCTGTGCCCCCACGCACCTGTCGACAAGGACTGGGTGGGGTGGGGCCTGCACTGGTCGGACCGGGCCTTTTTGTTCTGTCAGCCGTTCAACTGACTGAAGGAGAGGGCGGCCCATTTCACTCAGTCTGCTAATTGAAATGTTCATCTCATCCAGAAACGGCTCCACAGACAAACCTAGAATAATGTTTGACCAAATAGCTAAGCACCCCATGGCTTAGTCAAGTTGACACATACAATTAACCACCACAAGCAAGGATAAGAATTGTACTTCTGCCATAGGATTGGCCTAATTTCTCCTGCTACAGATGTGCTCACACACACACACACAGAGGACCAGCAGAGCACAGGCCAGAGTCGGAGGTTAACAAGTAGGAGTTCCAAACCCACACAGCCTACCATCGGGAAAATAATTACACCCTTTCCCATGATAATTTATTACGTTTGTGCATTCCTGTCTCATCCACTCAGTAAACTTTTTTTTTTTTTTTAAGATTTTATTCGAGACAGTGAGAACGAGCACAAGCAGGGGGACAGGCAGAGGCAGAGGGACAAGCAGGCTCCCCACTGAGCAGGGCGCCCCATGCCGGGCTCTATCCCAGGACCCCCAGATTATGACCTGAGCCGAAGGCAGAGGCTTCACCGCTTGAGCTACCCAGGCGCCCCTCAGGAAGCCTTTCTTGAGCACCTGCACTGTGCTGCGCGTTCCCCACCTAGGAGATGGCATTCCGCACAGCAAGTCTCATCCGACTCTGTCCTCAGCGTGCAGCTGGGTGGTGGCTCTGCGCATCTGCAGCACGACTGAGCAGTCACTAGGAGTCACCCAAGTGTATCAGTGATCAATCCCCTCGCTTTATCTTTTAAACCCAAGGTTGTCCACCAAACCAGATCCGGCAGGGTTTTCCCAACGCTAGTGAAAACCAGGCAAACTGTTCTTCTCAGAGACCCCTGTGAAGGAGTGTCGCTGGAGGGATCTCCGCGGAGGGGTGAATCCGGGGCGGGGGTCTCGGGGCTGGAGGAGGGCCGGGCTGGACCCGGACCCTGCGGAGGGGTGAATCCGGGGCGGGGGCCTCGGGGCTGGAGGAGGACCGGGCTGGACCCACACCCTGCGCGACGAAGCTTTGCCCGCTGAAAAAACCGGCAGCGGGTTGGACGGCGGCGTAGAGGAGGGTGCTCCGGCGCCGCCAGGCTGGAAGTGCCGCGGAAGGAGCAGGTTCCTCCCGCCCCGCAGCGCCGGCCGCTCTGTCTGGCGCCCCTAGCGGCGGAGCCTCGCATGGCGGCACCGGCCGGAGGAAGCGGGTCCGCCCCGCCGGCCTGCGAGTGGCGGGCGGGGGGGGGGGGGGGGGGGGGGGGGGCAGGCCGGCCTGGGAGCGCGGGTGGAGGTGAGGGACAAAATTTAATGTCTGGTGCCACTTGCATTTGAGTGTTATTCACAAGATACATGCTAAAGGCCACAATTTAGTCCGTGTTCGGATAGATGGCCTCAAGCGAGATTTTGCTGGAAATCCTCACCCACATGCAGCCAGCACTTCAGAAGTCACACCGGTGTTTGTGAGCCTCAGACACGCGGCCACAGGTGCAGACTGGCCCTCAGTCAGGGCTGGAAACCGCAGTGCGCTCAGAGACAAGGTGGGTGTGGTGTCCGGGGACCGCACGGGCTGGAGCTCTGCACGCTGGAGTCGGGGGCGAAGACCTCAAGAACGCCACGAACGTGCGAGGGGTTAAGCACGAGCTCAGGCTAGGTCCAACATCAGAGAGTTCACCCTGGAAAGAACCCGGTGAGTGGACTAGACATGGCGAAGCCTTTGGTAGAGGGTCAGGCTGTCGGGGGATCAGAGTTCATGAGGAGAGAGAGCTTCTGAATGTAGTGAATGTGGACAAGCATGCTGGCTCATAGCGGAGTCAGGGAGGGGACCGCGGATGCAGGGCTCGTGGACAGGCATCAGTAGTCTGCACTAGAGAGAACCTTGTCACCGTCGCCATGCGGGATATAACCATCAGTGAACACTTTTAGCATCTGAGAAATATCAGTGAGAGGACCCGCACCCACCCCGCAGCGCAGGGTCACAGCAAAGCCTTCAGGCAAAGATCTCATGCCCCAAAACACCAGCACCGTCACCAGGGAAGCAGCAGGAGGTGAAACTCTCCTTCCCTCATGTTCGCCGATGCCACGCCAGGGCACTAGCTCCAAAGGGCTGTGTGCCTCACCCCCATGCTGAGTCCAGCCACCCTTGGTCTCAAGAAGCAGAGCGCTGTCTCCTGTCGCCGCTACAGGCCCCATCAAGAAGCCCAGGAGAAGGAGGCTTCTCTACAGTCTTTTCAGACAGTGGATACATTTCAACCATTTTTCCCAGCCTTGCCCTCCCTTTTATTCAAGTTGTATCTCCTCCTGGGAGTGGCTTCACACACCCCCTGTCTTGGCATTGGAGGTCTCACGCTGAGCTCAGCGAATTCTTATGAGGAACTGGCCTCCCATAAGACCCCTTGCCTTGCATTTTCTAGGATCTTATTTCACGGGGTGTGAGCACCCACTGAGGGGCCACGCGGTTACATCACCTGGGGAACCTGCTGGAAAACACAGCTTCCCAGGCCCATCCCCGGGGAGACAGACGAAGTAGGCATGGGGTAAAGCAGGGAATCTGGGTTTATTTCCAGTAAGCCCAGTGACAATGACAGCGCTCCAGGTTGGGAACCTCTGGTCTCACCTGCCCTCAAAGGAGGAGCACCTGCGCGGGCAGGTTCAGCTCAGACTCCACCTGGCCAGGCCACTGGGACTGCTGGACAGACAGCTCTGGCACGTCCAGCTGTTCCAGGCCAGGGCTCTCTTCTAAGCACTCGACTCCTTCAGCGGGCTGCAGGGTTCTTGGACTGGCCGTAGCGGTGGACGGCGATGCCCGCACCCCAGTCCGAGTCCAGGCTGCAGCGAGGACGGCCTCCGTGGGCCTTGCCTGCTGCCCTCCGCCATTCCTCCCCTGGACCACTCCAAACACCCACAGACCAGGGGGTCTTCTCGAGTCAGACGCTGGGTGGGGTCCCTCGCTTGCTTGCCAAAACCCTTACTACGGCCTTCAGGGCCCGACAGGCCAGGTCCCCTTGCTCATCCCCTTCCTGTCTCTGCCTCCCCGACCACTTCTCAGAGGCTCCATCACTCCGAGCAACCGCGCACCTCGGACAGCTCCAGGCACTCGCGCCCGCCCTCAGGCTCTCCTGCGCCCCCGCGCGTGTCCCCGCGCAAAGTGCTCCGAGCTTCCTAGAGCGCCCGGAAGTGCCGGTGGCGCGGGGCGGGACTTCCTGTGGGCGGGGCGCGCGCCTGCGCCTCCGCGGGGTCGGGGTCCAGCGGGCGGCGGGGGGCAGGTTGCGTGGCGTCTTTGGACCTTCCGTCCTGCCGTCGCCGTCCGATACCGCCGAGCCCGGCCGGCCGGAGCTGCGGGAAGGAACCGGGGACGGGCGTCGGCGCAGCTGCAGCGCGGGGCGGGCCGGTTCCCAGTCTTGAAACTCCGCAGGCGGCGGCCCCCGGGAGAGCGATCGGACGGCGGGTGTTGGCGCAGAGCCGCCGGTGGGCCCTGGTCCGCAGCGGCCGCAGCGCCCGCCGAGGGGCCAGGCCCTCCCTCCGCAGCCTGGGCTGCGGGGACGCCGCGCTGCCTTCTCCCGCCCCAGTCGTCGTCCCTCGGGCCGCAGATGCTGACCGTCGGGCCCCATGTCTGAGCGGAACTGAAGGCCGGTCTTGAAGGAGCGCAGATTTTAACAGACTCTGAAATAGCGTTTAGGAGTTTGTTTCACCGGGAGAGGCAGTCGCGCTCTTTAAAGACAGTTTGGAAAGTGTGGGGAGAATGGAACACGCCCCCGCCCCGC